ATATTAAAAAATTTCGACCAGTGTAATGAACTTAAAAGTGAAAATGATAGGATTAAAATTGAAAATGATGACTTATCTAAAAAGTTCAAAAGATTTATGTGAAAGTTTTTTTCATATAATAAAAAAGGAGATGCTGAAAAAATAATAATTTCTCTGTATAAAAAAATTACAGATAAATTAGAACAAACTAAATTAGATAATGATTTAAATATTAATTCTATCATAGAAAAAGGAAGTAGTAAGAATTACTTTAAACGAAAGAAAGAAGAAAATCAAGAACCAAGAAAAAAAGCAAAAGTAGATAGTAAAATCACAAATTTTTTTCTGAAAACTAACTAATCAGTATATAAATACCAATTAGTCTATTAATTAGTTAATTATAAAAAATAGATAAAACAAATATTAATCATTTAGCGTGTGAAACACTTTATGAAATATTTTTTTATCTAACATCTGAAATGATAACCTTTTTAGAAAGAAACTTTATTCAGTTAAAATTTGTATCGAAAACTTTTTATAATATATACCATGATATTTTTAGAAAAAAAATCAAATCAAAATATGAATTAATTTAACAATATAATCCATACACACATGCTGCTCCAGAAACAGTACCGTATAAAATACATTATACAAAAAAAAATATCTGGGTTAATTTTAAATTTGAAGGAAAATAGTACTATCATCATTTACAACAAAATAGAAACAAACAATTTTTTGTTGATATACAAAGAATCGGTAGTAAATATCTTAATTTTATTGCTCAAGAGGATAGAAAAAAATATAAAAAAACTTGTAGAAAATGTGGTTCAAAACATATTGTGCCAATTACGATTTTAATTTATTTAGAGGTTCTTTTTATGATACACAATTAAGAAGTTTAAGTAGTAGTTATTATATTTGGGGAAATTTTGTTAATTATTTTGATATTCAATTATGTTACTTTTGTAAAGAGTATCTTAAACATGAATCATATACTGATCAAGAAAGAAGACGTGAACCAGCAGTATTTGCAACTTTTATCTTTAGTAATAATTTGAAAGTATAAATATAACCAAATTATCAATTTATATTTATTTTAAAATGGAAAATTATATTATTTTCGATTCTAATATTGTTTCTATAAATCAATATATTGAAATAACTAATTATCTAAAACAATATCAACAAATAAATCAAATTATAAAATATCTTCAAACAAAAACATTTAAATTAGAAGAATTTAATCAGTTATTAAACTTAGTTAAAAGAATAACTAAATGTAAAGAACTTAGTATTAATTCAAACTACAAATATACATTTAATATCGAATTTATTGATAATGATTTTATAATTCTTATAGAATATGTTAATAAAATATTATTTATAAAAGAACATGTATTTTCTAATTAGTTTAAACCAATTAGATTTTTTTTTACGTAAAATGAATCAAGAAATGAAAACTTTAATTTTTTTAATTCATAGTGTTGTTAGTGGTTCTTTTGCTGATTATATGAATTTAACTAGATGTTTATTAACTAAAAATGATTTATTAACCAGACAAGAAAAAAGAGTTATAATTCAAAATATTAACACATACATTTTAGTTTATACAAATGAAAACAATTATCTAATTTCATTTTTTAAACATTTAAATTTTATTAATGATATTATTAACAATATTAAAAATTCATGTAATAAGAAACAATTAGCTGATTATTTGGACTTGTTATATGAAACACATGTTTCAGAACTTACTGAAGAAGATTTTGAAGATTAAAATAAATATATTTATGATTTAATAAACTAAAAATCTCTACTTCAAGATAATCAATCTTAAAGAAAAATAAATTTAAAAAAAAAATTGCGCTAGCGATTTTTCTATTTGATCTTAGTCCAAAGTGGCTTGAGAAAATCGCTGTTGTACACCAAGCCAGCGGCTGATGGTAGCGCATAGCTACTAGAATAAGTTTTTAATTAAAAAGTATATGTATTTACTAGTTAGTCTTATAGGTAAATTGGAAAGATATATTTTTGACTTTTGAAATTGTAACTGATTGGGAAAGTTACAAAAATCCTGATAAACCCAGACTTAAACTTAATGAATATCATTTGATCAAGATTAATTTTACTCTCTATAAATTTAATAATAGATAGAAATTTGGTTGGTATGAAAATAATAAATATAAAGCTAAATCTTTTAAAACAAAACAGCAAGCAATAGAATTTAAATTAAAATATGATGAACTGACTGAAAATATGAATGAAAATTCTGTTTTATAAATTATATTCTTCTAGATACTATTAACCAAGCTATGAATTTTGGTAAAATAACAAATGTAAATATATACGAGCAGAAGAAGAAGAAAATAAACTATAAAAATACTTCACAATAAAAATTACAACAACAATTTCTACAAAAATGTCTAATAATTTTTACTAAGAATATTAAAATTTTATAAAAATAAATAAAAGTTAGTAAAAACAAGTAACTGATTTCAGTCAATCCAACCCAAATTCCTAATAAAATAGTTAATGTTAAATTTTTAAATACATGTATTATTGTATTTAAAGTTAAAATAAAAAAAAGT